TTGATTGAAGAAGATGATGAAGATGAGATGGAAGTAGTTGGTGGTAGTGGTAGTGGATCAACATCAACCCCAATGAACAAGCGAACAAGAATAAATACAGGTGATAATGTGAGTAGTATGGGTGGGAGAGGGAGAGGAAGTGGAAGTGGAAGTGGAGGAGGAAGTAGTAACTCTTGTAGTCCATCAGTGTTAAAGCCATCGCGACCAAAGGGGTCAATAGATAAATTTGTTTATCAACATCGTGGAAAAGTTGTTGATGATAGAAATCGATTGAAGAGGTTGAAGCAATCAACTATTACTGAAAAATATGATAAAGAAGGGAAAGATGCTACAGTGCAATTCATCATGCGTTGGATATATCAAGCATGTATTCCTTTAAATACTATTCGCTTGAGAAGTTTTGAAGTGATGCTAGAAGCTGTGGGACAATTTACCCCTAGTTTGATACCTCCTTCTTATCATGAAGCTCAAGTAACGTACTTGAAAAAAGAAGTACAATACACAAAAAATCTGATGGGCGACATGAGGTAGAATGGAAGAGAAATAGTTGTTTGCTGATGTCAGATGAGTGGACTGATAGGAGGGATAGGATACTGATCAACTTTTTAGTTCATTCATCTGTTGGAACGTTGTTTATGGAATCCATCGATGCATCTTCATGCATCAAAACTGGAGAAAAGATTTTTCAACTCTTAAATGGCATGGTGGAGAAGATTGGAGAAGAAAATGTTGTCCAAGTTGTGACGGATAATGCCTAAAACTATGTCCTAGCTGGAAAACTTTTAGAAGCCAAGCGACCTCATCTATATTGGACACCATGCGCTGCTCATTGTCTAGATTTAATTTTGGAGGATATTGGAAAGATTGAGCAGGTGAAAAGGTGTTTTAGAAAGGCTGTGGCATTTAGTGGTTTTATTTACAACCAGTTGTACGTGCTAAACATGATGAGAGAATTTATTAACCAACATGAATTGGTAAGACTAGTAGTGACTCGCTTCGCAACTTCATTTTTAACCCTAGCCAGTATTCATAGAAATAAAGCCAATTTGAGGAACATGTTTATTTCTGAGAAATAGACCACCTCTAAATGGACGAAGGACCCAAAAGGGAAGAGAGCAGCTAAAATCGTTATGATGCCATCTTTTTGGAATTAAGTTGTGTATACTTTGAAAGCATCGAGCCATTTAGTTCGTGTGTTGAGGCTAGTAGATGGTGATAAACCGGCTATGGGTTATATTTACGAAGCTATGGATAGGGCAAATGAGGCTATTAAGAGTGGTTTAATGAAAATGAGAAAAAGTATAAACCGATTTGGGAGATTGTTGATAAAAGGTGGGATTGCCAACTTCATCGGCCTTTACATGCAGCCAGATATTATTTGAATCCATCTATTTTCTTTGACAACAAAGAGAGAATTATGCAAGATCCTGAGGTCATGGATGGTCTAATCAAAGTTATAGAACGATTAATACCATCTATCGATGATCAAGTTCAATGTTCAATCGAATTAGAATTGTACAATGAAGCAAAAGGAATGTTTTCGAGTAATGTAGCAATAAGGACGAGGGGTGTTAAAACACCAGGTAATGACATTATTTATACTTTTAGTTTTAAATTTTTAATAGACATATTTAAGTTTGAACTACTAAAATTTTAAATCATTTGTTTAATATGTGCACAGCTGCATGGTGGTCTCTTTATGGTGTTAATGCTCCGATTTTACGAAAGTTAGCCATGAGAGTCCTTAGTCTAACGTGCAGTGCTTCTGGCTGTGAGCGTAATTGGAGTGTTTTTGAACACGTAAGTGAGAATAATTTGGTTTTTTCATTGTTAATTGAAGATTGAAAAATCCACTTTTGACTCTACATTCGTAAATAATTCTGTAGATTCATTCCAAGAAGAGGAACAGGTTAGAGCAAAAGCATCTTAATGACTTGGTTTTTATAAAATATAACCAAGCACTTAAAGAGCGCTACACTCTACAAGACCAACTTGATCCAATTACTTTGGATCATATTGATGAAAATAATGAATGGTTGATCGGAACACTCGAAGAAGAAGATGGTCAAGAAGAAAATGAGTTGGTCTTTGATGATGACGACCTCACATGGGGAGATGTAGCCGAGGCTAGTGGTGTTAGAGAGCCCATAAGGCAAACTAGAACATATGCAAGATTTAAAGGAAAGTCGCCTGCTACTCCCGCTCCCACAACTTCAAGAGTTCGAAATTCAGTGCAAGTGGTGGTTAGTGATGATGATGATGACACTGAAGAAGAAGAATTGGAAAAGGAAGATTGTGAGGACGTCGAAGATGAAGAGAATTTAGATTTAGGTGAGGATGATGATCTTTGATTACTTATATTTACTTTTTGTTCTATTTCAGACTCTAGAATTTCTTAATSTTGCTTGTCTTTATTTGGAACTAAACTTATAGAATTTGGTAGTTTTATGCATCTTGTTGACCTTTACTATTTTGGTATTGATTTTTTTAAGGTATTTTATGCACTATATATATAATCTTTACTTATTTATTAAGGTGCACCTCGCTTCAATCGGGCGTCGCCTTTGTATCGCCTCTCGCCTCAAGGCGATCGAAGGACTCGTCGCCTTGCGGTGCGTCTTGTGCCTCGAAAACGCTTATTACAGTAGGGTAGTTGCCACAAACCCTTTATATAAAAAAACATTTTTTACATTCATTTCATGCATGAGGTCCCATAATTAAACATTCTGTAATGCAGCACAACAATTTTCACGTAGCATTCAGTTCATACAAAAAATAAAATAAATCATCCATCATATAGCTATTCAAAACATCATATAAAAATTTCCAACCTAGCCCTAAGGTCATTCTGAAAGTAGAGTCACTTACCTTAACAACAAACCAAAATAATTATCGGTTCAATCGACCCAAAGTTCTTGACACAACCTAAAAATTAATTCCCAAAGAAAAATCAAATAGAATAAATAAATTTTTCCTGAACCTTGAAACTTGTCCTATGGAATATATGATTCTAAGAAAATATAAAATCATAAATTTACCTTTTTGCTTACTGCTTAAAATTGAGCAACAATTGGCGTCCGATTGCTTGCAAGATAGAGAAGAAACTAAAAAAAATAATGTCGACTGAGAGAGTGAGGGACTTGTTACAGCAAGAGAGTGGAGGAATAATGCTGATCACTACCTAGGTGAAACGGCAGGAGGTGAGAAAGTAGAATGTAACTGATCATTAGTAGGCTAATCAATGGGCATGATATCAAATGAAATAGTAGGTTGTACAATGGGAGGCTGGTTAGTAGTAGAACTAGGAGGTAGGACAGTAGTAGATTGAGTGGTCATGTTGAAATTGAAAGATTCAGGAATAGAAAATTCAAGGAGAAAATCAAGCGGTTTAGAATTCAAAGTAAGCGTATGAAAAAGGAAAACTTTCTCATGTAAAATAACATCTCTTGAAATGAAGAACTTACTTTTTCCAATATCAAAGAGTTTGTAATCTTTTATGCCAGGGGATAGCCAACGAAGATAGCTGGGATAGTAATGTGGATGCAGAACACAAGCAGCCAAACACTCTTATTAAACCATAATCAGGCAAAGAACCATTTAAAACTGTAAAAGGGATACACCACTGTAGCAAAGGAGACGAAGTCTGATTAAGTAGACAGTAGTAAGTACACAATCACTCCAAAATGAAAGAGGCATGTGATACTGAAAGTAAAAAATTTGAGGGCCATTTTTCTTTTAGAATCTTTCCTTGAGGTCAATCCAGATTTTCCGGGCTGAATTGGAGAAAATTATGCCGGCAGAAATCGGCTTAGATAAAGAATTAAAGATCCAAGCAATGATCTCCTGATTGTTTCGTATCCATGTAGGTAGCAATTTGTCTGAAGGTTTTGTAATTGTACTATTTATAAATCCAAGCTTGTTCCAAATGGAGATAGCGATGATGATAGATCGACTCCACGAGGTGTAGTTATCATTCGTGAGAGGCTCAGTAACGAGAACAAGATTGTATGTATCAATGTGATGGAGGAAGTAAGGATTGTGAGAAGAATCTGTAGAAATGAAAGAAAAGAAGACGACGGTACTTGGGTCGAAGAATTAACGTAAAGTGTTGTGTTGATTCCCCAGGCGATCCCTCATCCACTACGCCACAATATTCATTTTATTTTGAAGTGTTGTGTTGTATATATAATAGTTGTTTTGTTTCTGTTTAGAATAATATTGTCGAATGGGGGGAATGACTACCTGTAATAAAGCACAGGCTAATACGAGCCGACCAGAAGAAGCAAGGCTTAGATTATCAGATCTTGGACACAATCTTCCTAGAAATGGAGAGCCCATTGCCTCGCCTTTTCTAGCCTCTCCTTCTTGCTTGCTTACCTTAACTCTTGTCTTAGTGACTCTTCCTCTTTTCTAGGTTTTTTTCTGGTTAAAATGGTCGATTTTTCATTTGCTAATGAATTGGATCCGCCCCGATTTGATCAATAATGGGATTCTTGGCTAGAAGAAAGGTTCTGTGACATGGACGCTCTGCCCAACTAACTCGATCGTCTCTATCAAGAAAATCCCGCCAAACATGTTGTCTCTCGAAGAGACGACCAAGCCTTTAAGCGCTACGTTAGTTAGTCGACATTATTTTTAGAAATAGTTTGGGAAGTTCCATATTTTCATAATTACTATCGAAAATAGCATTATTAAAAAAAATACTAAATATACCAATAGAGGGATAAAAAATAGTATTTTAGCTTTTTTTTTTTCCTTCTTCCCTTAGTCCTATTCCTATTCCGTTGATCACAAAAATAATAAAAAAGTGAGGAAAGAATATTCAAATTTCAAAGTTTCAAAATACAAAGCGCAAAGTGAAAATGGCAGATCAGATGGCGACGCTTTTTCTTCTCCCTCCCCAATACGAAACCCTCTTTTTAACGCTCTCTTAGCTTTCGTTTCACAATTGAAAACTACAGCAACAACAATAAGAAGAAGATGGAGAACGAATCCTCGGCTATGGAGGAGATCAGAGGCCTCCCCACGCACGGAGGAACCTACTTGCTCTACAATGTTCTCGGCAACTTCTTCGAGCTCTCCGCCAAGTACGCCTCTTCCATTCAACCTGTTGGTCGTGGCGCTTACGGCATTGTTTGGTAATTACCACTTCTTCTTTCTTGATTACCACCTCTGCTCTGTTCTTAATTTTCCATTTCTCACTCTGATTTGGGTTCTCAATTCATTCTTGTACTGAGTATGCTGTTTTGTTTTGTCATTTGATTTTCTGTAATACACCCTAATTTCTTTTCTTCTTTCTTTGTTCTTCTTTTTCTCAGTAGGGTGGGTTCATTTCTAGTGCTTCCATTTTCTTTGTTTCAATTTGTTTGTCAAGATTTTGATCATTTGATGTCTCAGTTGTACGACGAATTCGGAGACGAAAGAAGAGGTTGCGATAAAGAAGATAGGGAACGCATTTGACAACAGGATTGATGCCAAGAGGACCCTTCGCGAGATTAAACTCCTGTGCCATATGGACCATGACAATGTATTTATCCGAACTGATGCTCAATTACAATCTTCAATTTGCTGTTATATAACCAAAAACTCTGAAGCTATTTTTGTTATGATTATTTGTTAGCAATTATTGCTTATTCAGGTTGAATTTTAGTTTAATTAATGTGGCTAAACGTGTGGATTGATTATTAATTTTAAAGGGGAGGGAATTTCTTACTTTACTCCATGATAAATTATTATTGAATTTGAAAGCTTGGACTTTTCAGTTACGTGTTTTGAATCTTGTTTCTATATCAGCTGTGCTTTTGTTTTATCATCAACAGATTTCCTTAGTGTTTGATGAAGGGATGGAAAATTTATTGCTGCTATAATTACTTGGAGAGTTTGCCTTGGGGACTTATTTCGTTCTGCCATTGAAGCATAATAATCTCTTTTTTCCCCTTTCCAGATTATAAAAATCAGGGATATAATTCCTCCACCAGAGAAGGAAAAATTCAGTGATGTGTATATTGTGTATGAATTAATGGACACTGACCTGCATCAGATTATTCGCTCTAGCCAGGCTCTGACGGACGATCACTGTCAGGTAAGGGATAACATGAGAGTTACTTTTGATTTGTTGAGGTTTCCTAGTTGATATGCCTGAAACCTACACCTTAGTTTTCTAACAATGTAACTTGCAGTGATTGAGTTTGTTTTGTGGATAATTCTTTTGGGAAGTTGGATCGTGAAACCTAACATCTTGAATTGCATGAATAGAAGACTCTTTTCAAATTGATAGATGGCAATTCCATTCTTTCTTACAGGATCTAACGTTTCTACAAGAAAGAAGCATTTTTCTTATACATATAATTAGAATATGCCTAAAAAAGTTACGCATCCTGTCTATGAAAGATGAGCGATGCCCTAGAGAAGAGAAGAATGATGTTTAACTGGTTCAACTTCCTTGTCATGAAATATTATGCATTGCTAAACAAAATTTTCTCCGGGTGTCTTGTATGATCTGTACTTATAATGTGCTATATACTGAAGGTTTACTTGGAAAATGTTACGTTCCAGTGAGATTTGTTATCAAAAGTCTGTTTCAATATTTAATTCTAGGCTTTATGTCGATAATAATTTTGTTGGAGCATCAACAAACTATCTGAAAGGTTGGTTAGAAATCTTATTCTCCCTGTTAAAGCTGTATCTGTTTATTGTTGGGACAGTACTTCTTGTACCAATTACTGCGAGGTTTGAAGTATCTACACTCTGCTAATGTCTTGCACCGAGATCTAAAACCAAGCAACCTTCTTCTCAATGCAAATTGCGACCTCAAGATTTGTGACTTTGGGTTAGCAAGAACGACCTCGGAGACAGATTTCATGACAGAATATGTTGTAACCCGATGGTATCGAGCCCCTGAACTGCTGCTCAACACTTCTGAATACACTGCAGCAATAGATATTTGGTCTGTTGGATGTATTCTCATGGAAATTCTAAGGAGGGAGCCACTGTTTCCTGGTAAAGACTATGTGCAGCAACTCGGGCTTATAACCGAGGTACTTAATCATTGCCTATCAAATTTCTGCCTACTGTTTAAATTATTTGTGTAGCACTGAGGTGATCTTGTTGTTTCTATAATGTGCTGTTTCATAAATTTCCTGAATTATTATCCGCATTGGTTGCAACTTTAGCTTTTTAATGCTTGTGAATGGAGTTGTTTCTTGATCATTACTACCCCAAACCAGTTGCTAGGTTCACCAGATGATTCAGATCTTGGGTTTCTAAGAAGTGATAATGCAAGGAAGTATGTTAAGCAACTCCCTCATTTCCCGAAGCAACCGCTGACCGAAAAGTTCCCAGATCTTCCTCCACTGGCCGTTGATCTTGCAGAGAGGATGCTAATCTTTGATCCAAGCAAGAGAATAACTGGTAATGCAATGCACCCACCTTTGCATCTAACATAACTTAAACTACCTCTTTTTCTCTTCTCTCCTATATTTTCCTGATATGAGATGTATTTCCTGTCTAAAAGTCGAGGAGGCGATGAGTCACCCATATGTAGTAAGTCTTCATGAAATCAATGAAGAACCAACCAGCCCTGCCCCTTTCAACTTCGATTTTGAACAGGCATCCTTGGATGAAGAAGATATAAAAGAGCTTATATGGAGGGAGTCTCTCAAATTTAATCCAAATTACAAATAGTTTCAAACATTTCGCTCATCTTCAGTTTATTGGGTCTTGATTGAAGAGTTGATTTCGTTTCGAATACTAAACGAGTCCAATAGTGTGAATTGATGTTGTATTAGCGGTTGGCAAGTTGGAACCGAATTTGGGAACAAATAGTTCTTGTATATAATATAATCATGAAGAAGGTTCATTTATCAGGGATTGGATTCACCATCTTGTGGATGATGGCTGGTGTGACATAAGAAAGGGCTGCATCGTCCTCGGCCTCGCATCGAGTTTCTTTGCCTATGTTTTTTAGTACTCTAGGAAGTGAAAATTGTGACTCCTACAGGAAAAAGAAAAAGACAAGAAGATAAAATGTTATGGTTTGCTTCTCTTTTCTGGTATTATTGCTATTGTTTAATACCACAACATACAGTTTTGTTTTTTGGGGATTGTGAGTTCATGTTGACAATGGAATTACTGTTATCAACATTCAAAGCTGATCTTGTTACTGTCACTGTAGAGGCAGGGACTTCAATTAGAATAACTTTAAGGAATCTCATTTTCTTAAATTTTTCCTTTTTAGTAATTAAATTCTAATATATGTGCTTTCACTGTACAATGCCTTGATGTCTTTACCTTTTTGTTTTTTCAAGTGCCTTGCTCTTAAAAAAAAAAGTCGATCTTATATCGCAACTCGGGTTGATATGTTCAAGAGTCATGGTAACGAAATTAATGAACCTTGGAGGAGAATGATGATGGAGATGTTTTGCAATTTTCTCTTGTTCATTAACTCAAACCATATGGAGTCTGTTAGAGCTTCTGGAAGAGAAGCAAATAACAAAATTAATGGCAAATTATATTTTTAGTTCTTAATAATTCTCAAGGTTTAGAAAATGAACCATATGGTCTTGATATGTGCTTGGTCGTTATTGGACTTACAAAACAATTGACATGATGTGATAATTAAGTGGTGATTGAGACTTTACTTCTCTGTACTATTCTAGAACGATGTGACTTAAAATTTATTGTGACTTTTATTGTTACAACTGTTTGGCAAAATTGAAGGGGTAGAGAGGTAATTATAATGCCCCTCCACCTATAATTAATCTAATTTGTCCTGACATCTTTTTACTCCGACAAAGGAGATTAAGGGCTCAATCTTTTGGTTGGAGGTATATGTGAATTATTGTTAAGCTATGTTTGCTTTGGCATTAAGGACTTGTTTGTTATTGTTTATGATAATATGTTTTTGTTGTATTTTTTTTTCTTTCTTTTATTTTTTTGATTGACAAAAATATATATATATATATATATATATATAATTCTTGTGTCTTTCTAACTGTGATTTGGATGGTTGATTGAATTAAATGAAATTTGTTAGGTAAAATATTCACCTATGATTTTTATATGTTATTTATGCTAGAAGAGGTTCTTCTATACATGTGGTTTATTTGGTTTATTTATAGGTACAATCTTGAATTTGATGAATGTGGAAATAACATCATAAGCAATTAAGATGATGAATTGTTACAGAACATCCCTATTTTCACTCAGAGATTCTTCCTTTTTCATGAGGAATCTAAAGAAAAAAGGGAAATCTTTTTTTATTTTTGAGTACAAACAGCAAAAGATAAAGGAAGAAAGCATGTTGGGTGACAACTGATAGAGTATATATTAATATATTTTATATTCTTTTCTTGTATTAATATTAATTTGTCATTTACGTTCTCCTTAGAGGATTAGGTCAACCTTGTATATTTGTCTATATATAGACTTTAATAATGAAAATAAATAATATTGGATTCTCTCCAACCTTAGTCTCGTATCAGAGTTCTAGGTTTCTTGCCCGTTAGGGTTTTGATGCCCATTAGGGTTTTGATGCCCATTAGGGTTTTGTGCCCGTTAGGGGTTTTGGGCCCATTAGGGTTTTGTGCCGTAAGGTTTTTTTCATTGCTAGCCAACACAAATCACCGCCGCCGCCGCTGTCGGTCGCTGCCGTTTGCTGATTCGCCAAACGCTGCTGTTTTCGAATTGCTATTCGTGGGTTTCGTCTCGCCGTCCTTCGCACCTTCATCGCCGCCAGTCGCCATGCGCTTCCGTCACTGCCAATCGCCTTCGTCTCTCTGGTTGTCGTGGGGTAGCACTTAGAGTTTCTGGTTCTAGAAAACACCTGATTCGGTTCAAGTGGTCCAGTTCAACCGGTTTGGTTTCAAGTGAAGTGGTTTGGTTCATTCGGTTCAAGTTCGGTTCGATCTGGTTCGTCACATTCCGGTTCGGTTTGGTTGATTTATACCGGTTTTGGTTAGATTTGGTTTGGTCTGGTTCTGTCGTTTTGTTCAAATAAGTTCGTTTGTTTGTTATGACTGAGAAGAAATCAATCGTAACTTCTGAGGTGATCCCAATGATATCAAAAAATCACAGAACACAAGTTGAATAATATATTATTTGTCTAACAAGTTGGGCATGATTAACATATATGCACCAACTTGAGGGGGAGTGTTAAAGTATATATTAGTATATTTTATATTCTTTTCTTGTATTAATATTAATTTGTCATTTACGTTCTCCTTATAGGATTAGGTCAATCTTGTATATTTGTCTATATATATAGACTTTAATAATGAGAATAAATAATATTGGATTCTCTCCAACCTTTAACTCACAATGGGTCCTTTAACCAAATCTGCAAACATTTGTTTCTTCAAGCGTGATATGCTAGCTCGTGGGTAGTAGTGTTACAAGTACATGGGGTGAAGAAAGTCTTTAACGTGATGGGTACACATTTAGAGAGTTCATTTACAATCTGTTTATCACGAACTAAATGTTTTTCAAAGGGTTAAGGAATCAACCTCTATGATCTGTAATAGATGAAGACAAATTTCACGTGCCTTTTGGATGCCTTCAATCAGCATCATCGCTTCTACAAGCTCCACTGGACCTATAATGGTAAGAAATGATCCTCGAGTAACAACTCACAATTAAATTAAGACAAAGATGTAACTTCCAAAATATTAAAGAAAAGTGGTCTCAAGACATTCGAATAGATCATACCAATTTATGATAATGTGGTCCATGTTGATTGAATATCGTTTGTCTCAATTATGATAGTGTGTTGCCGTATCTGGTAGGTTAGATAATTTTATTTTCTACTAAATCTATAAATATTTTAAATTAACTATTTTTATGTAACTTAAAATCAATCATTAATAATAACTACAACTTTATACTACTAAAACTTAATATATTAAAATTAACTAATTCACACAATTTTATACTACTAAAAAAAATTTATTAACATTAAACTACTTAAATAAAAGTTATATATTTTTACGTTATTAAAAAAAACTTTTAAATTAATAAAATGTAGGTTTTTTTTAAGTACAAGAAAGGGAGAGGGGATTTGAATCTCCAATTTGTAGGCAATAATATGGCTCGGTAACAGATCGCTTCTTCCTTAACTAATTGAGTTATGCTCGTATAGATTGGTACATGTAGAATTGTAATTTAGAGAAATGAAATAAACTATAGTGAGATCAACACTGTCTACGTCAATTTCTTGTGGGGACCACAAAGGAAAGAAAGATTCTTTGAGGGTTTGGGCTTCAAAGACCAACATACTTCCAACCAATCCATTCTTACTACGAAAGTTTAAGAACATTAAAAATCCAAATAGCCTACTGTCCAGGACGTTGTGAGAGGGAGAACTACTTCAAAACTAACAATCAATTTCCTTAAAATCAGTGTACTAAATGTCGCTTGACACGTCGACATGTCGACAGGTCAAGAGACTCGACATAGAGGAAAAATCGTTTTTCCCCTATTGATGATATATAAAATATCGTTGAAATGTTGAGAAAATATCATGATTCTAAGGATACATGCCGACATTCGTTAAAAAAATAACTAAAATGCATGTCCCATGAAACAAAAATGAGGCAGGGGATTTTATAGGGTCGGTTCCCTCCTCCACATAACCTTTCCGACGTGGGATGGGGGCCTTGCACTTTTGCGCATATTTATTTTTTTCTCTTTTCTTTCTTTCCTATAATAATAATATTATTATTTAAATATATTTATTTATTTCAATTTTTATCATATTTTTCTTTCCTATTTTTCTTTTCAAATTTAATTACAAATTTTCAAATCTATCCTTTAATTTCTAATAACTCATTTTAATCCTCCACGATACAATATTATTTCATATCTTATTGTTCAATTATGTAACTAAAGACTATATTTGGTTATAAATTATTAATAAAACATAGTTAAGTAACATTGAACATCAACTTACTAATTCAAAACATCAATCTTCGTTATCTTGTTCTGACATTTCTATCGACATCGACATTTTCATAAGCAAGTTACTCGTATTTTTACATATGATAGATAAAAGTGATCCATTATAACTTAATTAACATACCATTAAAGTTTTATTTACTAATTAAATTAATTTTTACTAATTTTCATAATTTCCTTGATTTTTTTACAAATATCCGTCGACATCAACATGTCCATAAAATCAAAAACTCGACATTTTCATCGACATCCTCATCGAATCTTGCTTAGAATGCTCTAGATTTTTTAAAACTAAGCCCCCACTCCAGCCTACACATGTTGTGCGAGCTAACCAAGTATATTTTCCTGTCTCACTTTTACTAGAACCCCACCAGAATCAAGCCATCATTGGTCACTAAGAAGGCCTTTAGGAATATTTTGAAATATGGTTCATACTTCATAGTATATAGCAAGAAATAGATTTAGGACATTTTCAAGGCCTCCTGCTGATAACTCTAAAAAAAAGAGTTATTTATTATTCCTTTTAGTTCAACTAGTTAATCATAAGTGTGATGCATGGGAAATTTTGTAGTTTTATTTTAAAGTATTAAAAATATATAAAAAAGAGATAGTTAAGAATGATAATATGAGTTAATTTTATAAAAATTCTTGATTTCATAATTGAATTAATGTAAATCCTTGGAATAATACAAATTTAAAATGACAAATAAGTTGATTATAGATCTATTTGTCGATAATCTTTCATATTTTAACCATCAAATATCAAATTAGACCGTTTTTTACATATCAAATTAGACATTTTTTTTAGATTAGACATTTATGATCGTTAATATATGTTATTAATTAAATTAAAATGTCACTTAAATAATTTAATATATTTATTTAAATAATACAAGTTAGAAAATGATAAAAGAAAAATTCAACAAAGTTATCTACTATAGCCCAATAATTCAACCAATTTTATCAAATAAAACAAAATACATAAAAGAAAGATTAAACCTTAGGTACCCACTATTTCATCGTCCTTCCGCTCTCATGTACTTCACCTTCTTCTTCGTGCCATCTCCTCCCTCCTTCTTAGCAATTCAATGTCGTCACAAACAGCCTCCTATAATACATAATGTAATTCTCATAATCTTATGCTATTCTCATATTTCTATTCATTCTTAAACAAAGACAAACCACATTGACTAAAGGAGAAA